TGGGACAATACGTTTATTCGCCTGACGTTTCGACATCCGTCGCGGATTCTTCTTCTCACTGAAGGTAGTACCGTGATTGAAAAGCAAAGAAAAATAAATGACTTTGCCAAAGGAGTATTAGTTTGGCAGATTTGGGGAATATATATTGACCCCTGACTGTTCAAACCTTGACGGGGTTTGAGACCGAGGCAAACACCGCAGCACCTCAATATACTCAAACGCTTTATTGATTGAAGCATGATGCCCCAACCGAAAACTGTCAGATTTTTCACCGTGTGCTTGAACTTACTTCTCCTGTGTGTAGAATCTTCTAATTCTGTCTGGAAGGCTGAGTGCCCAATGAGGTTCCCTAAGGCAATCAATCCGGAATTCAACACCCTGACTTATAATAGAGGCCCTTTCTGTTTCCGATTCGAATTTTCACTTAAAACGCAGTATTCGTCCAGCGTGCTCACTGAAGAAATCACGCAGAACTCGCTTGTTCACCTCAAACGAATGCAAATTACATATAACCAATTTACTAGTCAGAAGGAGAAATGGCGTTCACCGGGAGATGTTTATTGTTTATATGACGTTTCTGATAGTTGTCTCGTCCATCTTCAGAGAGTGAATATTCTGACTTCTGCCTCAGTCTATATACTGCTCCTTTCTTCCGCATGCTTATTCTACCGATCCAGGTTGAGCCGCTCTTTGTGGCTCGCGTCTCTAAGTGGTAACCGAGAGGAAGACGACTCGATCGCTGGGACAATACTTTTATCCGCCTTGTCAAGACACCTGTGCAGAAACCGGTTCTGCGAATAGGTTGAAGTCTCACAAAGAATAAACGTTTCCCATCCTCGGGCCGGTCGAAGCGCATCTCGCCCAAATAAATTGCCAATACAAGCGAACATGCGAGTCCCAGGAAGTCCCAGGCGAATAAAAGTATTATCCTAGCGAATGAGTCGTCTCCCTAGTCTTTGCCGGCAATACTATCTGTCTGTCGAGGCCCAAGGCAGAGCGGGACAGGTGAGCTCCATTAGCGGTCAGGTGAGCGTTCACACATGACTGTCAATATCCCCTGACCTAAACCGGCAAGACTACGAGCTCGTACCTCAATTTAGGGAATTGGCCTCTGATCAAAAAGGTTGCGAATTCGAGGCTCGGGTGGGACACCAATTGAATCTGGGTATGACTGGCTGACAACGGCTAATGAGCCAGAAATGGCCATTCCAGTCTCCCTTTTCTTTGCCTGCAATACTATCTACCCAAAAAGGATTATATGGAACAGAGGAAAAGTTCACAACACTTTTTAATCTTTGCTATTTTACTTACCTCCAGTTGGACAGAAAGGATATTGGTCTGTTTCACGAGGGTATCTTCAATGACTTTAAAGTCGCGTTCCAGTTCTGCACGCTGTTCCTTGCATTTCTTTTCCATTTCATGACGCAGATCGCCCTCCAATTTCGTGAACTGCTTTTCCTAAACATAAATATCAGCAGTAATTATCATAGGGAGCTCGTTCACCGATAGGGTTACTAGAGCGGGTGGTTACCTTAATCCGCCCTCATTATTAGTCCTTTGAAACGACCTGCTAGGTCTCTATACCGGACTCTAGCAGGATATTTCCCAGAAACTAGTAGTAGAATCGGGCTGAGGCTACCAAATTAGACTAGAGAGATTGGGATAATCACTTGTGGCCTATTAGTCGTCAAATGCTAGCCTTATCCAACCTTGGTAGTTATGGCACCTTTTTCCACACCGGTTAACGACTGTTTAGAGTGGGCCTAGCCAACTAATGTGTACGATGGAGGGCTAAAATTAGCGAGTTAATCAGTATAAATAGGAGACAGTGTCCACAATGTGCTCGTGGAGGGCTGAATTAAATAGCAGGTCTAGGATTCTCTTCTTAAAATGAGTGATCAATTTAAAAAACACTTTGATAGTTGCTAAGTGGACATACCTTTGCTTCCGTTAGACCGTCAAGCTTTTTCTTATAAGAGTCCATTGCACAAGAGTGATGCTCAGTCAACTTAAGATATCGTATATTGCCTTCAGTCCCCTTTCGGCTGAAAATGGAAATGGACGCTAGAAATGTCATGCTTGTTAAGTACACGAGGCACATGTCTAAGACGTTGTCAGTCACTTGCATGAGTTTTTAAATTCAAACGACAAGACAATCTTTAATGAACGAGTTACGAATAAATTCGCCTTCGACGGGTCATGGTTGTTTTATTGACCTGGCAACAATTTGCGATATTTTAGGGCAAGTGCTATTATCGCAGCTTTATCTGGCCTTTATGTTTTTGATGGGCTACTGATGTGTGTTTAAGAAAAGCTTCGGTCGTCCGTTTTATCTCACAAAGTATTATAAAAACAGTTTTCTTGATTGTCGTCTGCTCATGCGGACAGGCAGGAAGCATACAAAACAGTGTATTCAGTGGGGCATATATGCATGCTATTTCAAGCCCCTCTCTGTAGTTGTCTTACCCTCGCAAACATTTATATTTTGTTTTTCAAACTCTAAACGGCCTCTCAATGCAAAAGGAACATATTAAATGCGAAACAACTAAAAAAACATCGAAAAACTAAGGTTTTCCGTAATTATTTATCCCATTCACAGTAGAAGTATTATTGGGAGGTTTGGCAGATTTGCTTAATTTGAGTTGACCCAACAGTAAAAAAAAACTCGAGGCGTTCGGCGGGATTTGAACCCGCATAGTAAAGAAGGCCTTTACGCTAATCCAACTCTCTAACCAATTAAGCTACAAACGCCTCACCTCGCGCCATGAATTTAATCACACTTGGGTTGATTTCACCCACCCAAATTTACCGCTCTGCCAAACCTCCTAATAATTAAGTCAACCTAGTAGTCATTGTGGTCGACTCTAGATTATTGCTTAGGAAATCCTGCTTGGGCAGTCAGCTTGCTTTTCCGTATTGGTGGATTCCATACGAGCGGTAAAATTGGGCGGGTAAAATCGGCCCAAATGTGATTAACTTCATGACGCGAGGTTGGGTGTTTGTAGGTCAATTA